TAGAAACGGTCCACTCTAGGAGAGAACAAACCAGCTTCCAGCTGAAGAGGAAATTTGGAAAAGACGTCTGAGGTGCATAGGACATAGATTGAGAAAATCATCAAACTGCATCAAAAGGCAAGCGCTTACTTGGAATCCTGAAGGGAAAGGGAAAAGAGGAAGACATTGCGCTGAAAATTTAAGGCAGACATCGAAATAATAAACAGAAATGGGAAGAACACTGGGAAAAAGAACCTTGGACAGATTTCAAAAGAGAATCCCGGTGGGCGGTCTATGCCACTCCACAAAGGTTAGCCGGCATAAGTAGGTGGGTGTAACTAAAAGATTTACACTACATTTGTTTTATTATCATTCATTAATTGTAATTTAAATGAATATTATTCATACTTATTAGTATTAAATCTTTTATGTATGAGTATTTCATCTGGTACTTTGCTATCAGGTCGTTGGTCATCTAACATTTGTTCATTATGGGCTTTGGTTATTTATTTGCATTTATCCGCAATTAATTCAGACAATCAATTCCACGACCAACACTATTATACAAGTTTTCGTCCGTTATATGGCATAACTTCATCTCTCTCGTCACATATACCATTTTAATACCTAGTGAGTTTTATTCACTTACTGCACTTCATGTGATCATTGTTGACGACTAGCGAATAGTTTTTAAACCAACTTCATTCAATGAAAACTTTCACTATTCATATCTGTAAGTAATTTTCTTCGAAAGATACTTCAAATTTCTCTAATACTTTCTGTTCGTTTTTCTATTCTTTATTATCTCTTGAATTGCAATATTCGAAATAGTGTTTGCTGTTGTAAATCTCAGGAAGAGTCAAAAACTATTATTAGGAATTCTCAAATCCCCATATAAAATCAATAACTATTCCATGGTGAACTGAAGTCAACTTTAAGAGTTAATATATTCACCTATCATAAATCAATACCAACTCTATATTCTGCTGAAACTTTCTAAAAAAAGGAAACCCAAGGTTACTATCAATAATATAAGTGGTCTTTTAATTTCTGTACATTAAATAAAATTGCAGTTATATCATTATCATTTCATTCATCTCAGTTTTCAAGCTTTATAAATTGAAGAAAATCAAAATATTTGATGTATGATATTTTGAATTCACTATATCTATTAATACTTAGTGATACAAAGCAGCTTTATTGCCATTTCTGTCAGTATTTCATTTTTATCGGCACACCTATATGAATGAATGTTCCTTCGAGTACTTCTACTGGATTAAACATGAAAAGGCAGGTGTTTCAAATGTTCTGATTTTTAGTATGATTTAATCCTCAGAGCTAGATGAAATAAATTCAGAGCTGTCATTATTGTTCTAAACAATATCATTAGGACTTACTTCGAGTAGAAACGAGCATCTCGATTATTTAATAAGTAACAACCTGTCTTGCATTAGTGAAATTGTCTTAGTGTAGATCGACATCAATCTAATTTGTCAGTCTATACGAAAAATGTCAACCAGTCACATGGTCACACGTCAATTGAACAAAATAGCTAACAAGAACAAAAGAACATGTCAAGATAATAAAACCTGTGAAGAAAATCGGTTAGAAACAAAGTCATCAGAAAGAACTGACTTGACGCCTGTAGTATAATCAAAATACTCATTTTTACTTTAATGAAGCGCCCACGATATCTATAATGACAGCTAAAGCTTCCCAATGAAACCATCCAGCTCACCTTTTCAAAGTGAAATAAAGTAACCTTAATTACAACTTACCAACTTTATTTTCGTTTAATCTAAGTTTAGTTAAAGAAAACAATTGGCTTCTTTCTGATTATCAGTAGAAGACTATATACTTCGAAACTACCACGAATATATCTTAAGCATTTCTGATCATTCAGTTTAATAAACATTCAAATTATACATGATATAGTACTGGATGATATTGAATATTGATCGTTCCTTTTGTGCACCTCTTCAAAAACTTCTCAAAGTTACTTAGAGTATTTGTATATGTATTGGCAACTATAATGCATTCGAATGAAAATTTCATGGGGTATATTGGGTTAAACTTATAAATAGTAAATTGATAATTTGTATTTTATATTCACAACCGGGATACAGAAAATGTTGACATTATATAAACCCCAATAAAATAATTTACTGTTACGTAATAAGAAAAGTAACAAATATTCAATTGAAAACTATTTATATCACACAAATTGACATTATTCGGAAGTCCAGTAAAAAAATATATAGACCAACCGATAACTCTTTGATATCAGTTTGGTGGAGTTCAATCCAATTAATAGTCAGAGAAAGACTTAAAGGGTGATTTAACTACAAAGATATTGATGGAGTTTTGTTCTCTGAGCTGGATGGTTTGGTCGTGGAGCTTTCATCGTTCTTCTGAACGACATCATCAGCACAAACGTCAGGTAGAAGTGAAATGTTCGAATTTCTCCATATGTATTTCACAGCTTGTTCTGTGCACCTCGATGTTGATTGGTTCCTGTTGACCTTAAATTTGTCATTATTTACTTCTTTGTTTTGGCTGTATCTCCCATTGGTTTGATTTTTGTTCCTATATTTATGCATGATTTTCCTGATTGGTTGATAAATTGGATTGATTTCAATGTTTGTTGATTGCTGATTGACCTGAGTGACAGGCTTCTAAAAATTCTCTGGTGTTTTTGGAATTTCCTCTGTCCAAGATTTCCACATTTTTCCAATCGAATGAGCGTCCGCAGTTGTCCACGTGTATTGATATAAGTGAGGAAATATCACGGCGTTTGACTGCTAATTGATGTTCATGTAGGCGAAGGTGAAGATATTATGTAATTTGTTATTGATAACCTTGTTCATATACCTAAAAGTCTACTATTCATTTAAATCATTTTATACCATGACAACTCATTTGTTCATGATACAAACATTCATTTTTAATTCGATTAAACTTTGCAAGTTACTACTTACATAATCATAATTAATTACATGATTAATATGAATTTGAATAGTTCGTTTATTTATGGTTATCTTATAATCAAAAGAATAAACAATTATTGAGTGTTATGTGATTTTTACTAAGTCTCCAACTAATATTAATCTATATATATACAAAGCATCTTGGCATAATATGAGTACCATATAGTGAATAGTTCATTTGCGATTTACTATCATTTGTCTTCCACATTCCTTTCTAATTTTTTATTTTGTTTTCTTCACGTTGATCTTCCTAGCATTCTGCTGACAGATATCCCACTTTCAATCGGTGTCACATACTACTTATGTCTGTCAATATAAGTAGCATATATATATGAAGTAATTCAATACTCGTTCATACATTATATAACATTGATTAAATGATAAATATCGCAACTTTTAAAAACAATGACATTTCTCATGTAATGTACACTTACTACTGTTGTGGTCGATTTAATTATTCGCTACACTCACTTGAATTCTTATCTTTATTGCTTCATTCATTACGGTTATGAACGTAACCATAGAAATTATATAAATTTATAATTAATTTTCTATCAATAAACTGTTGTGTCATTTTAATTTTCACAATGATCTATACGTTGTATCAAAATTATTTATTGTAACAACTAGTAATTTGTTTATTTTATTTTTTTCTTGAAAAAGAAATGAAAACGTAATCATACAATTTTTCTATTCACAACTTATCTCTAAGGGTGTTTGGAATGACAGTATTAAAATGAATGGATAAATGTAAATGATCAATATGCTGACAACAACAAAAAAATACACACATACACACACAGGGGGGAATGAGTAGGCAGAATATATATATGTATATGTTCAGGTGACACAGTCGTTACAATACGCTCACACACAGATCCACTCTTCCGCCTCCTTTTAGAAAAAAAAACAAGCAGACTAACAAAACACGTTATTTTATGAATCAGAAAAAAAATTAGATTAAATTCTGTTTTTATCAACAGCAACAAAAAAAAAGAAAAACAATAGAAACTAACAAGACATCAAAAAGAATATTTTCGTTTATAAGAACCAAATATTAAAAAAAACTTTTATGTTTTAATTCAAATAACTTTTAGGAAGAAATAAAAAGCAACAAACGGTTACATAACATGATATGTTATTGTTATTACTTGTAATGAAAGAGTAATTGAAATTTCCAGTGAATTTCAGTATTACACTAAATTCTTTGTGTTTTTTTATCTTAAAAAAAGAAAAAAAAGTGGACGAATAACAACAAAATATATAAAACCACTTTAAAAAAATGCTTCATAGATATCTGTTATTAAAAGAGATAATGATTGTATAAGATTGTTGGGTTTTTTTATTACTGTTTGCTTCTGTTCTTCTTGCTATGATATGCATGGAAGAATGTTTTTTTTCGGCAGCCTATCCTCCATCAGGAGTAGCAGGCGTAAGTAAGTAAGTAAGAGAAGAGTGTTTTAAGAACAAAGTTTTCTTTTTTTTAAAAAAAAAAGAATTTCGTCATAGTTTTAACTTTGGAGAAAATTAAAGGTCTCGTAGGGAAAATATAAAACATAGTTTACTTTATATGAGAAAAAAAATACATACGGAAATATGTTACTGATTCTTTTTAATATTAGGAAAAAACATGTAAGTTAACTGGCCTGGGAAATATCAAGGTTTTTCAAGTGAACCAGTGTTAAATAATAATAGTAATAACTATGAATAATGAGTATAAACAGGTGTACATATTTTTGATAAAGGGGGAGATACACACACATACACACATCGGATCTTCACACATGTACGCGCAGTCATTTAGACATACTCACATACACGTAAAGAGAGAAACAATAACTTTTCAACTGGCATGAATGAATTTTTTTGTCGAAAATGAGTGAGATTATGGTTCAATGAGAAACAAAGATGGTAGAATAAGAGAAAAAAATCTATGTCACCTTGTTGCTTTCCCATGAGAAAGTGTTTTATAAGGAGTGGGCGAGAGTAAAATTTTACTGATGATTGATTATTGGATGTGACATTTTATTTTCTTCATAAAACATGATCATTCTCTGTAAGAATGTCACGGTCTGTATCCGATTTGCTCTAAAAAATAGACACAAAATAGTATATAATTTGATAAATAGTTATCCCAATATTGACTGAACAAAGAAAAGAAACACAATATTTGGAGAAAAACATCGGAATTTGAATAGACTTAAAGAAAATAACTTCGATTGACCAATAGCAATATTCTACTCATATTCAATGTATAACACAAAAGAAACTTCAAATGTTAATTGATTTATTTAATCAATATTTATTTTATTCCGAAACCAGATGCTCGTTTGATTGTATTCGTAATGCTTGTACAAATCGGTCAGTGGGTTCAAATATTTAAGATAATTGTCTGTATGGGGTTGTGGAGATTGTTCGTTTTCTTTTAAGTCGCGAACCAATCTAAGCTAGGTAACTGCTGCAAACCTGGGAGCACTGGATGATCGTTCTGCTCTAGTAAAGGAACCCTTATGACCCCATACACAGAAATTGAACTTGAAGCTTCTCATCTCACACGGAAACCCTTAATCTCTAAAATATTGAGCCAGTATCCAGTCAAGTATAGGCCTAACTTCAGTCCGTTCATAATATAGTACGAACATTTCCCATTGTCCTCGGTGGGTATCCTTCTTACATCCTATATGGTTTGGGGTCACTGATCACTGCTTCTCATAAGAACGTCAGAAATTTCCTCCCAGAGCTAATCACTGGTGAACATATGATAACTGCCAGTATGAGGTTATGGGTTCAATCCCTGAATCAATGTTCACAAGTGTACACCGTTATGAAGTCGTACACTAGAATGGAATGGCCTGTCAGTGATTTCAGGTTTTCAGAGGTTGTCTAAATTTGATCAGTTCGTGGTTTTAATGGTATTTAAGAGAAAATTTGAAAACAGCTTACGACTTGTTTATCTGTTTATTCAACTAATTTCAAACCACTTTAAAATGAGACATAACGTAACAGATAGTGTAGTGTATTATCAGCAGTTGTTTAAAGAAATAAATATAAATGAATAAATCTAAAAGAATTAGGGTCCGAATGTGTTTAATAATTTAGATATGCATTTAACTTTCATCAGAGATATATTTCACTGACTTCTACAAGATAATTTTACTAAAATAATTGTATCACGTAAGAATAATAAACAATAATGTTGAGATGTTTTGAATATTGAAACATATTCTATCATTATCTAAGTAATAGAAATAAGAATTTGCCATGACAAATTTAATGGATATGACGATATGTTATTATAAAAAATTGATATCTTATAAGTTTGATCCTTGGACACATGATATAGATTTTACAGTCACTTACTAGACCCTCTAGGAATCTCCTAAGTTTGAACTCCGTACAAGTGAAAGAAGGTGAGAAGTATGAAAAAAAGGATTACTTTCAAGGTCTTGATGTAAATATAAGCAAATATATTTAGACGTCTATATCTGATCTTTATATTTTGGAAATTTCTAAAAATCTGTTAAAACTAATAACAAAATTGCTTGTTAACCAATCAGGATATAAGACACAATCTGTCGTTTTCTAGAATTCTCTGTGATGTTTATATTGAACACCGATCGGACACAAAATTCACAGCATTATTCAGCATCTGAAGATTTTCAATGAACGTTGAAAAGCTCCCAAACAGTATAGATTAAAACTTGATAGAATATACCTATGACTCTACACGCATGACAGAACCTAGAACTTATAAGTATTTCGATGAGAGTCTATCGTTACGCGATTGACTATTTCAAAGATTCAAACAATTGGATTCTGTTTTAGGCCTAGTGTTGGACAAAAGAGTTGGCCAATTCAGAGAGTGATCAGGCGAGAAATGCTAGGTAAACTGTAATTAGGAGCTCCAGGTCTTTTTTCGGAAACTTAGCTTGTGTTAATTTATGATCTAAACTAAATCCAAAATAATATAGACCAAAAAACGGAATGACTCAAATCTGTAGAGGGTTTTTCATAGAATAACTCTTACACAAAACTGCCCTATATCGAATATCGTTCGTTTTTATTCTAAACTCATTAAATCTATGCATAGACTTTTTGATTGTTTGTTCATCCTCTCTCTCGCTCCCTATTGTTATTTATAAACATCCTGGTTGAATAGTTGAGTAGTTAATAAGAGTAACTTCATTCAGTTAGTTGTCAGTAAACATGTTCACATTTATTTTTAAACTTGTAACCTGAAAATAACCTCATTTTACCTTACTGTTTATATTAGATTGTTTTTAAGTTTTTATTTATTAGTAATATAAAAGTTCTATTTATTTATTTATTTTTTAAACATACAGCACACCAACATTTGATCAATAACAACTCTGAGATTAATGCTCAAACCATTTATCACAAAAATTATCTAAGAACTTTGTGACGATGTACACCTTTTGAATTAGATTAGAAATTTCCAATCATCACCAGTAAAATAACCGTACTGATGTCAATTTTCTGAATACTTTTAAGCTTTCAGTAGATTTAAGGTTTAGATTGATATCATGAATGGATCAATGTTAGACCGCCATTGAATATCTGGAGGTACTACACGGTAGTTTTGTTCTAGTATGGTACTCCTCACAAGTGAGCACCAACGATCTCACGCGAAGAGCTCGAACCCAGGACCTTTGGTTTCTCGGGCCAAAGCTCAACCTGTAGACTATTGAACCACCATCCAACGGTGCTAGTGTCTAACTCCCACTAATCCATAGTCTTGCACAACCACTCATCCATTACTTGAGGTAGATAACTGATATGATATTGTCTGTTCTTAACCTACTCTCTGCATTATCAACGCCTTCAACTGATTTAGTTCATCGACCGGTTGAAGTTAAACATTAATATAGTTGGATGCCGGGGCTCAGTGGTCCAGAGGTTAAACGTTCGTGTGCGACACCGAATGTCCTAGGTTTGAGTCTCGTTTGCGGGATCGTTTATGCCCACTGCCGAGGACTCCTATACTAGGACGAAACTGCCGTACAGTGCATCCAGGTACTCAATGGTGGTCTAACATTGATCCACTCATGATATCAGTCTAAACTCATAAATCTCCACAACCCTTAACAGATTTAAAGTTACTTCATCTTTAAATCCAAGAAAATTTGATCAGGACAAATAAAAATTAACAAACAGAATTACTATTTGTTGATTAAGTACTTATGTAAGAGATCAACTGTGACACAAATAAATCATTAGCAAATTTTGTTATTATGAAAAAACCATGAAGTTAGTCAAGTTGGGATCCAATGAACAATATGAATTTCTTCAAAATCTTTGATATGTACTATGAGACAAAGCTTTGTATTGAATATATATACCTTAGAAACTATGAAATATTTAAAATTAATAGTATTCTGATTATAGTCCTTTCTTATGACTTCTCATCATGGGTAAAATTAAAAGACAGATATATATATAGTAAAAAAAGGCTAAATCTGTCCTAAAATGGAACCGTAACAAAAACAACACAAATTTATCCTTTTTTTCTCTGTTATTTCCTAATTTCTATTGCTTTTACATTAATGTATACTCATAGACAATTAAATATTTGTCAGTCATGTTAATTAACTTGAAAAAAAACAAACTGAAATCAATCAATCAACAAAAATGAACACTAATGATATGAGGCAATCTTGATTTATTGATTTATTTATTTATTAAAAATATATAATTAGTGTTTTGTTTACTCCATAAGTCGGATATTTTAATGGTCACTAATAATTTAAAATTTATAATAATAATAATAAAATGAGTTACTTAGGTAGATACATGCTGTTTGTATGCATATACTTTATATAAATAGATTTTAAACCCCTCTTTATAATTCAAAGAGGATTTTTTTAAAAAAAAAGGGGACCATAAACCACCACTCATTTGTCTTATATTTAATCAATTTTTCTTTTTGATTTTATACCTCATTTTTTGGTCTACTCACACTATTCACATATTTATTCAGTTACATTATTTTAACAATTTTATGTTTTAATTTCACCTTAATGTTAATCAGATCAAGGATTAAAGATAAAAAGAAAAAGAGTCAATGGATTAAATGACACTATTTAAAATTGTACATTGAATGGTTTATTTTCTATCTTTGTATTTGTGTATCCATATTAAATATATAAAATAGTTCCTTTCTTTTAAACTATTCAAACTGATAAAAATGAAATCGAGAAAGATATATATATATATATATATATATATATATATATATATATTAATGTTAAGATTTAAAACTGTATTGTTTAAATGTATTGCATTTCTTTTAATGCTTTTTATCTTTAAATTATAAATAAAATAGATTTTAATTTTATGCAGAATGTAATGAAACTAATATTATCTCATAAGAAGAGAAAGAGAGAAAGAAAGAGAGAGAAAGACATAGAGACAGAGGTTAATTTAAATTCAAAATAAATCAAATTCTTACTTTAAATTGAGAAAAAAAATGTTACTTTAGTAGATAATAGTATAAACATAGATTTCAGTTAATTTAAGATACATTTCAATGGTTAAGATCATGAGTCAGTTGAAGTTAGACCACCATGGAAAACCTGGAAGCACTGGACAGCCGTTTCGTTCTATTATGGAACTCCTCAATAGTACGCATCTTCCCTTGCGAGATTCGAATCCAGGACCTACTGGTTTCGCGCCCGAGCACTTAACCACTAGACCACTGAGCCGGCATCCAACGGTGTTAGTGTCTAATTTCAACTAATCCACGAAATTGAGCGACACATCCATCATTGTCTTCAGTGGGTTACTATCTCACAACAGACCTAGTTGAACTCCACTGGTCACTACTTCTCACTAGAACTCCAGGATATACTTCTTGAAGCCAGTCACTAGTGAGCATATGTTGATTAATATCAGATGGGTTTCGCGGATATTATAGTAATTTCAATGGTTAAGATCATGTGTCAGTTGAAGCTAGACCACCATGGGAAACCAGTAGGTCCTGGGTTCGAGTCTCGCAGGGGGCGAGGTCGTGGATGCGCACTGCTGAGAAGTCCCACAACAGGACAAAACAGCCGTCCAGTGCTTCCAGGTTTCCCATGGTGGTCTAGCTTCAACTGACTCATGATCTTAACCATTGAAATTATTATAATATCCATAAAACCCATCTGATATTAAATTTAAGATATAGTTTAAATTCATCCTTTCTATTGTAAATAACAACAAATCTTTCACTTTATATTATGACTAAAAGGTTTAATAGATTCTAGTTAAAAGTGGATTTGTACATTGATGAAACTACTAGGTATTAATAGTCTAACTTAGATTTTTTTAAATACACATTAACTAGAGTATTCATGTTAACTGATACCGGTTATTGTATGATTTACGATGTAACAATTGTAACATCTATAATAAGATTTAATAAAGATGCAACGGTTGAATTTATTGTAATAAAGAAAAACCTTTTCTTTTTTTGGTGAATTAATTTCTACTTATTAAAACTATGAAAGATAAATTTAATGTGAAGATGATTTCCATCGTAAACTAATGTCAGCTGGAGAATGACCGAAAATCAGGAAGATTGTTTTATCTAAATTGGAAGGGAAGGATTGGCTTAACAACACTACAAATATGTATGACCTTACATAAGATCAAACCTCGTAGTTTTAGGCTGTAAGGTAATTTAATAAACATCTTAAACCAGGACGATTAATTGTCTTGCACCTTTGATTTTTAAATTGTTCTCCAGTTTATGTTGGAAAAAACTTTGAATTGCGTCAAAATCTCATATATATATATATATATATATATATATATATATATATATATATATACCCTAAAAATAATCTCACTTTATAGATAATCGGTGGGAGATTCACTTTAGGCAATCCCTTAAATCCCATTTGTGTGAAATGATCATTTTTCAAAAATTCATTTGGTTCTAATACAATTCCAGTTGAATCAGCATAACTTGGAGGTGATTTAATTCGTGTTTTATTATAATTATCATTATTATTATTATTATTATTACTGTTATTATTATTATTCATTGTAGTGTAATATACACTTCCTCCTTTATCCATATCGCCGTCACCTTCTATTGCACAACTAGTTACTTGATTTTTCCCCGATGTACTTTGAACAAGTTTCATGTATTTATATTCTAGTCTAACAAAAGAAGTTAACACAAAATTGTATTAAAACAGAGCATATTTTTTGTTTAAATATTAATGAAAATAGCATCCCCCTTATAATTTACGAACTATATCAGCAATTATAGATAACAGAAATAATTAATAAGCAGGTAAACTGTATATAATCGTTGAATAGCATGTGACAATTAATAATACGACTAAACATATTTATAGTTAACAAATAAATTGTATCATTGAATTTTGACTGGGCTAGCGAGTCACAAGAGTAACTAACACATGATTCGTCGCTCTCCTTCAGTTTATAGATGCCTCTTGTTAACAACTTTCAAACTCCCTAAATAGCTTCCAACCGATTATTTATAATCGTTTAATATAGAAAATAAATTTCAACACGATGTTAAATCATTTTGATTATTTGACAAGATATCAATTTATTTATAACACACACATACCAAAATATGAAAAGAATGCAACACAAAATTAAAATTTTGATTTTGCTAATTAATATGAAAGAGGGATTTCGAATAGCAGATTCATTTTACTGTTACGAAGAATTTGACCAGAAACTAAAACAGATTCTTTCATCGGTAACAAAGATGGTGGCTAGTAGTGAAATCCACGACGCACGTTTCGTTCTAGTTGGAACTCGTCAGATGGACGGACTTGCATACAAATAACAGACTTGTCAATTGTAGTCTTAAACACCAATGGGATGATTCAAGCACACAATAAAAAATGAATTAGGTTCTCTTATGATTTTTGTCTTGAGACATGTATGATAAGTTCTGAAGCCAGTAAGTTGTATGATCTCTAAGATTTCGAAAAGATTCCAGTCCTGTACAGAGATAGGTGTCATATAATATAGTGACCACCTGTCTGGTTTTCTACCCAGTCCCAGTGTGAATGAATAATGTTCAACGTTGAAGCCTCTGCGACGAACATCACAAAACATATCCAGGTCACTAAAACCACTGTTTTAAGATAATAGTGCTAACGGCATGATAGTTACCTCAAACATACTGTACCTGACCAAGATACTACCTACGCTGTATCGCCACCGGATATAATCTTTAAAAAAAATGATATTAATCGTACACTGGGCAACAGTAAACCTCTAAAAACAGTCTATATATGGATTATGTCAGTGGATTTCTTATATAGGTATGCAGAACCGACGTGTCATAATACCCGTATGGACATTTGTTTCTAACTAGTAAATCAGATTTAGAAGTGTTATATTTAAGGTTTATCAACTTCATTCTCACCCCATGTAAAGTGTGTGTCTGACTTAGGAAAGAGTCGTAAATATCAACTAAAGAGATTCAGTATGTCATACTTTTTTTAATGGGTCTTCAACTAAGAATAGTCCATCATGTGAATAATATGCGTACACATATGGCCATTCAAATACATACAACTTACTTCTTATTTCGACGATGACACATGAAGATGATTAATCCTAAAATAATTAGAATTATTACAGTCAATAAAACGGCGGCTGTTTGAGATTTAGACAAAAGTGGACAACTTTCAATGAGGGTGAGATTTCTGTTCTGTGGAACACGACATTCCCTTTTATGAAATAAAACGAAAGAATGAAAGATTAGTTTTTCGTGACAGGTTAAATGCAATCCTCTTTATATACTTAACGGTATTATAAAATAGAAAACAAGTACTGTTCATTATTTTGTAATAAATTATATATCAAAAATCACTTTCTTCGTGAATAATTCAGCAGATAGAAAGGCCACCATTTATCTTAATCATTTAAACTTTTAACTAGTAAGGTTAGCAAGTCAAGTATAGTTAATGACTGAAACATTGTACATTAGGTAATGATTTTAGTTGGCTCATGAAACTGATGAATATTATAACCTCGTGTGTTCCAAATTCCACTGCTTACTGCATACCGAATACACAAGATAAGATTATGTCGGGAAAACCTATTCAGGATTCTCATTTGGCAACAGTGGTTGATGAATTACATTCTTAACTATCAACATCCAGAAATTACAAAACTTTTACTTATTATTTCATATGTGTTTAACAAATTAGTGGCTATCCGGAACCATTGGTTGAGTGGATAACGTCATTGACGTTCTAAGTCAACTTGAACCAACTAGGTCTTGAATAGGATAATAACTCGCCGATAAAATCCAATGACACTTAACAGTAACTGTTTCTTTTTTTAGTTTTAAAAAAATCATTACATTCCCAACTTAACTTGTATATCAGATGTAATTTGGAAGTCATAGGTTAATGGTTGTTTATAAATCTCAATGAAAAGTGGTTGGGTAAAACCAAAGACATATTTAACTAGCGACAAAAAGTAAATCATCTCAAGTATTCTAATACTACATAACTACTCATTCTCTCTATTTTTCTTGAGGCAATAATACTAAATTTAGCAATGAAGTATGCTTCAGACAATATTTAAATGAGTATTTACATTTAACGCACTAAATATATATACCTGATGTACACACTACACACGGATACAGAAATTTATGATTAAATAATCAAAATGATTATTTATAATTGAAAATGACTTAATTAGATATCTACACTTTGAACTATTGACGGTACGGTCACATGAATGGTACAATTCTGTTGGATGTATCATTATTTCGTCCAACGAATTAGCTCCAGCAATTTAGAAAATATACTATATTATCTAAATAACATTCTTTTCAGTCTCAGGCCAGTTAGTTTGTTTTGATACCCCCGATGGCAGTTATTTTTGTTGTAAATCTATGTTGTTTAAAGCAGTACGTTGTCATACATACCAACTTGATTAAAAAATCTATCTAACGTCTATATACAATAACTCAATTGGCAATTCACTAAGTTGTTAACATATACTTAGTTATTGTCTAACTGTAATAAAAATAACTTCTTCTACTCTACTAATCCATATTTCCTTCTCTTCGAATTGTACTTTTAATGTCTAATTTTAACATTAATACTCTTACTATCACTAATACTCTAGAATTCGCTATGATAATTTCATGTTCATGTGCTAATGGAGCGTAATAACTTGAACCAATGCACAAATGAATTAGGTTCTACGTTGTATATAACTGATTAACTGACTGAGTGGCAAAAACAGTATTTTTATAATTCTCATATTTTAATTAAACTTACCATGGAGCACGAAGATGAACCTGTCTACGACCATAACTACACTCACTAAGAATTTTTTCATAATCATTTTCTTGACACATGCGACAAGCATACATTGAAGTCCATAGAAAATGATAAGTACATCCATCACAAGTACCATCTGGACACAATGGTGGTAATTCAATTTTACCAGTTATATATTCACTGAAATCTTTTACTTGATACATGAATGTTTCAAAATTTTGAGTAAATACACATCGTAATGTAAGGACTGTAGTTCGTCCATGAGGACAATTGGAACTATGACTTAAAGCAAATAAAAACGATTTGTTTTAAAAAATGTCATTACCTGATAATTCTATTTGTTTTTTTTTTGTTTTGTAAATAATTAATTTCAACTAAGTATAGAATATATACACAGTATATACATATATGCATTGGTTTGTTATCAGCGGAATTCTATTACCTGGATACATATTTTTAGTAATCTAACAGGAATAGCACAGTATGTTGTACAGTTGAATTAACTTAAATCATAGAACAGCACTACTCTCTATCATTATTGTTATATTCTGACAATTAAAAATTCATAAGTAATTAGTTTTAGGGGAGAAAAATGCTGATTGCGACATATAAACAGTGAAAGAGAAGCACGTCTATCTAAGTAGTCCCAAATAGGACAAAATGTACATTATTGATTTTGCTGTTAGTTATCACTAAGAAATAAATGTTTATTTCAAGATTTGTGGTATGGATATAAGTGATTGGCTTTAGCCAGAGAGTTAAAATAATTACCAGAAATTTGATACTGGACACGTTTTGTACGATAAGAAAAGTAATATGTTGTTGTGATGCCCATCATTTGTTTAAACAAACCCCTATTATTCACTCTTTAATGAGTAATATATAGTATCCAAAGGAAATGACTGGAAAAATATCGTTATTGGCAACTGTTTAACACTTTGTACACACTTTATTCAGTTTCTATTCAAAGATATATTCAACTCAATGTTGTCTGGGAAATAGTTCGATGCTTAAAAATGTATTTTAACATAAAATAACATTTCAACCGAAGGACAGTTAATAACCTTGAAACATTATAATGTTGAAACTCTTCCAGACATTATAATCAAAGATGGTTGGTGACTAGTAGTGAAATCCAGGACGCATTTCGTCTTTTTTGGAAAGCTTCAGCTCGAATGACCTGCATTCCACCGTTGATGTTCTCTCCGAAACTCGAACCCAGTAACATTCGCTTCAAATGCCATCACGTCATCCACTTAGCTACTAAGTCCTGATGGCCACTAACTTGTGTAATGAAGTGAAGTTTAAATTCATGTTTGTATTGTTTGTTTAAATCTTCTCATTGGTGTTTAAGAGTGCAATTGACAAGTCTATTATTTGTATCCGTGTCCATCCATCTAATAAGTTCTAAATAGAATGAAACGTGTGTCCTGGATTTCACTACTATCCACCATCTATCTCCGCTTATAAGGTTACCTAACTTTATTTTCATAGTAAAAACAAACGTGTTTTTTTATCGTAATGGTGAGTAGGTGGATGAGATCGAAAAACTCTGTCCACTCTTCATTATTCCTCATATTCTTTTAGCCAAATAAATAAAAATTTTATTGACTCACATAAAACTGAAATTTAAAAGCTAAATTTTTATTTGACAAATAATTGCTTAATTCAGATTTACAATGTTAGTAGATGGTAACAAAGAAACAAATTAATAATTTATAGATGAGTTATGTCTCTTAGGTAAGTTAGTTAAATTATTGATTTTGCAAATTCTATACGTACATTAGATTATTGATTCACATTTAGTTTCATTCCATTCATTCAAATTAATTTATTGACTAAAACATTTAAAATAATGTATAACTTGTTCTTCTTGATATGATTTAATTAGTGGCTCATGAATAATTCAATCCACTTCTACAGTCCTCTTTTCTTTCTTGTATTGGGATGGCAGTCTCTTACCGTTGTATTAACTAGCAAATGCTAGTTATTAAGCAATCAAAGTAAACATTGTACCATTAGTAGTAATCAACATTTAATTCAAGTCACAACATTGATATATCAATTTCATTTTGATTCGTTTCAGTAGTTAGTGAAGCCTTTGAATTAGATACTTGTTAATTAATAAAATTAAACTCATCCTTATTCAGTACATTAAAAGATAATAATGCTCTAACTAGAATTACAAAACAACGGATCATAGATCTTGATCATTAAATAAAACATATCACAGTGTTATTCTTATGTTACATTCAGGGGTTTTTTATTAAGAGAGAAAGAATTGAAATAGTTCAATATTTAAGAAATTTAAATAAAATCCAACTTTCTTTTAAACTTACTCGTCAGAAGCAAATATATAATGTAAATCGTTACCGAATTCTATAAGAAGGTAAATGAAAAATAAAACAAAAGACATTGGATAAACCATGTTTTATCGAAAGAAAAGAAATATGACAAGTTAAAAGAAGAAGAAGAAGAAGAAAAGGAAGAAAAAGAAGAAGAAGAAACTGAAGCAATTCCATCAAGTTGATTAAAACAAAATGAATACAAAAACAAAACCCCATTTAAATAGTCAATGAAATTCACAATAAATGATGAATATATTTTCAGGAAGAAATAATAATAAAAAAAGAAGAAAAAAAGTTACCTTATAAAATATGCAAATGTAATTTAAATTGTCTGTAGGAATTCACTCTTGAGAATTAATTATGTACATAAATAACTAGTCTGTTGATTGTACTTTTACTTGTCTAAATATTACCTATGAGATCATTTAGTATTGTTCTTTTTTTCAGTGTATGTGTTTATGTATATGTATACATATATATGTGATAGAGTAGACAGGTATTGAATGAATTTTTCATTCTATGACAGTGATTAAAGTGGGTAAAACAGACAAGTTATCCGGTTAATGAAGATGTTGATTAGTTACAATGTAATATGTAGTAAGAACATTTAGATACTTAATGGACATTAAATTAGTAATTAAATGAATAATTTAAAATCTTAGATATATCTAACATTCACATCATTTTATATCCTGATCTCAATAATTTAATAGGGAGTACAGGTTATATGATTTTGAATTGTATAAAAATAATGTACAGTGATGTTGAGTGCTGTTAATGGTACGAGGTCGGTTACCATTTCCCGGTCACCCACACCAAAGAAGGGTTCATCTAGAGGCACCTGAAAAGGAAATTAGGTTAGGGATGGTCTTAGTGACTTGAGAGTGTATCCACAGTGCCCAAGTGATAACTGCTTCAGGTCGGTCACACACGACCTTCTCGTGAGTATTTTTCGTGTTAGCTCCATATTTGTTGCGTCCTTAACACCGGAGACGGATATGCGTGAGATAAGGTGAGGTGTGCATTTTTAGAGTCGACCTTTTCTAACCCCACCACCAGCATCGCTGCAATGCTGGTTGTCTGGATGAAACGTCTAACTGCCGTCACACCTCTATATAGTAAGCAGTAAGACTTTGCCGTCGGATCTTGGATTTGCTGCTTTTAGTCTTACAGCTCATCAAACGACCTGTCTGTCATGGTAGGACCTTAAGGAACGATTGTTCGAGCCAGTTTAGCTCGATTGGTTCATTACGATATGCATGCCCGACCACCACGTGATGATTAGTGATACTGATATATAATGGTTTACACCATAATAGTATATGAACCGGGATTCAAAGTACAAACCAGATATTCATACTGTTTTATACTTAAAACGTGAATACAGAAGCTAACACTAATTAATATGACTAACAAGCGTTTTAAAGAATGACACGAACAACATCTATTTTAATAGATTTATCAGTTCTGGAAAGTTTTGGGAATGATTTTAATTTTGATAAGAAGTTCTCTGTATAACCAATCAGATTTTAAAACAACCTGAAGAAATACAGTTAAAATTCAGTAAAATTTATGAATAGTATTAAGTGGATACAGTTACGACATGCATTAGCACTTTCGTTTACATTTCATAATAAGTTCGCATACAAATCTGATCATTTTATTATTACTCAGTTTAAAAGGGTAAATACACTTACTGTCTTCCATCCAGCCTGCTTTTGTCAAATTTTTGTTTACTTCTTGCCAAAAGTCTAGTGTCACGTTACTGGGCACCATACGAATAAGGCGATCAGCTAGTCTAAAATTATCATAATAACGAAATGAATACTAATTTTAAGATAGGACAGTAAAATAAGCCATCGTCATAAAATATTGTTTGGATGTATGAATACAACAATATGTCTGACAATTATATGAATAATCATGACTCCGATAAACGTATCACTAACCGTTCCAATGTCCATCGGCTAAAATATTTCCATTAGTTAGAACAATAATTTGGTGCTCTTAGCTGACCTTTCTTAAAATTTCAACAACGAAAGAGTTTATTTAAAACAGTAGAAAGCATAATTAATTCCCAACATAGTTTTTTTAAAATCTACCATCAAGTAGCTTTTAACTGCACACAAAATCCGCCAAATTCATTTCACTGTTGCAAATTGACTCGTATAATAACTTGGTCATCAAAAAATTCTCTCAGGATCAACATTAACTAATAAATGCTTATCAACAGCAGTCCTGTATACTAACAACGAGGAATTGGACATATTTACTAATACATTCATAACTAAACTAATTAGTGGCTATCTAGAACTACTGTATGGATGAGCAAAAAATTGGACGCACTAAATCCAAAACTGAGTGTGAACATCAACACTATGATATAGGTACATTTAGTTAATTAGCTCCAAGTAGGATGAAGTGCTCATTCTGTATTCCACCGCTAGTCGTATACCGAATATAAAAATATCATCAATTTTGTTAAATTTAAAGCTGAAAGAAATCTAAGGGAAATTTTCATAAAAATATATGCAATTCTGAAAATTTAACTCATGCAGAAATTTATTAAATTATCAGGTCACCAATCATTATAGATAAAAACAATATTTAGTCACTAATTACATACCTTGTTGGTTTTGAGTATGTTTCTGTACGCCTTTGATTGGACGCCTCAAACCTCGTATGTCGACAAATTGAAGCATTCACGGTATGTTGATCCTTTGATAGAAATAAAGAGAATACAATGTTGAATTTACACCACTAAAACTGAGGAAAATTCTTATTATACTAATAAAATGACAAACTAAAGTCATTTCATTACTTTACTACTTACAAGTAATGAGACAATTAATGTAAAAGTTTACAACTGAAAAATATCTTTATCACCTACTATGATAAATACCTACTCGTGATAATCAATCAGTACATCATATCTGCACGATATTTATTGTAGAAAATCAGTATGTTAAGTATTGAATTCAACAAAACACAATAATATTGAGTATAGTAGTATTATTTTAGGTATTTATAACAAGTCCCTAAGCTCGGTTAACTGACAACTTGTTGCTTTGTTGCAATATGTCCCAGCTTATTTTATCTTTTCAGAGACATTACTTCTGAGTGGTAGCGTAGTTACAAATTCGAACATCCTTTTTTCTTCAAGGATTCATTCATTACATGAATATTTTTTAAAGTAAACTCCACATATCAACTTAGCCTGTTAACAGTTCGTTTATTTATTAGCATTTAGTATAGTGCAGTTTTTAGTGTACAACTCATTGATAAAATCTCAAACAATTGGACTTGAGTGGCTAGCATGTAATTAGGATTTGGTGTATAGAACTATCTAAGTAATTGCTGTTATTGAGGTTATCTAATGTTTTAGACAGGCTAAAAACCAATTCTCTCATATATCGAGTTCAAAGTCACACAGTCTAAAGCACTAAAACACTTATTCCAATATAGATTTCAAAGAACTCAACCTTCTTTTAATAACAGTTCCTGGCAATTTAATTACGACATTAAAGGCTCTATGTCACTGTATTGTTCTTGGAGATTTTAGATCAAAGAATAGGAATTAAACAATAATGTGGAAGATTTGTAGCTTAGATGGACAGTTTTGGTGAAGTTTTGTTCTCTGAGCTGAACGATTTAATCGTAAAGCCTTCATTCTTCGTACGAAACAACATTACCAGGACAAGATTTAAGAATAGGTTCGGCAAAACAAACTGTCGGTTGTATGTGAATAAATAAGAATGCTTTACTTTACCTCAGACAACGAAACTTCAAAATTAAATAGTAATTATATATATGTTGTCTTGATTAGAAACTTATTGTAGAGTTTGCTATTCAATATAAATAGTCAATTGAATTTTAGCTTATCACTTAATTTTCTTGAGTGCTGTCAAAAATAAGAGGGCGATCACCACTTCCTGGTCACCCACACCAAAGAAGGGTTCATCTAGAGGCACCTGAAAAGGAAATTAGGTTAGGGATGGTCTTAGTGACTTGAGAGTGTATCCACAGTGCCCAAGTGATAACTGCTTCAGGTCGGTCACACACGACCTTCTCGTGAGTATTTTTCGTGTTAGCTCCATATTTGTTGCGTCCTTAACACCGGAGACGGATATGCGTGAGATAAGGTGAGGTGTGCATTTTTAGAGTCGACCTTTTCTAACCCCACCACCAGCATCGCTGCAATGCTGGTTGTCTGGATGAAACGTCTAACTGCCGTCACACCTCTATATAGTAAGCAGTAAGACTTTGCCGTCGGATCTTGGATTTGCTGCTTTTAGTCTTACAGCTCATCAAACGACCTGTCTGTCATGGTAGGACCTTAAGGAACGATTGTTCGAGCCAGTTTAGCTCGATTGGTTCATTACGATATGCATGCCCGACCACCACGTCAAGGTAGCATTGAAGTAACTGCCTTTATGAATTCAGTGTTAACCTTCTTGTGTTAATGAGATGTGGCTACTTGGACCGGCGCATATACGTGCCTACTTTCTAGCTGACTGACTGACTGACACTTAAATTGGTAATTATAAAGGATTTATCAAATGAAATCTATTGTGTTGAGACCGTATAATTCATTTTTACAAATAACTGGTTCACAAATTAAAATAATAAAACTATTCTCTTTTTTAATCTTCTAACCTAAAATAATAATAATAACAAATAAATACAAAATCACATTGAAGAACTTTGGTTCTATTGATCAGTATGATATTCTTATGTTCTCATTATTAGTTCATCAGCTTATATTTTTAAAAATAGTCACTTTCGTCGTTCGATATCACAATACTCATTCGATATTCAAACTTATACTTGAAGGTCTTCTGATTTAATGAAAACCGTTTGTCTACCAGAGTCAGGTGTAAGTTTTAATGATATCATGACAAGTGGAGTCAATCAAATTGATTTTAAAACATTTAGTTGCAATGATGTTACATAAGGATTCTGCAACATAAAAACATTCAAAAAAAATCGTTTTTCGTGAGAGGCTTCACCAGTGAATTAGTATCTTCTGTCCCTTTTTCATGAACTAAACAACTGTTAAGGTATAACGTTGCAAACGCTCTAACAATATTTCACACCTAATTTTCAGATATTTTCGTGCTACTCAAAATTATTAAGTAGTAAAATTAGTTTATCAAATATTTTCAGTATCATGAACCGACCTAAAATATCATTAAAACCGAAGAAGCACTAAACTTTTGTTCCGTACTAGTATGAGACGCTTTCATGATCCTACCAATATCAAGCTCAAGACCTTCGATCCCGATAAATACTTTCATAGCAAGTGAAATAATGACTTTCGTTCTTGAAATAACTTATTTAAAATATTAAGTCCAAAGTTTCATTTCGCATAGAGATGTCTACAATTATCTAACTAACTTGATGTATTTAATAGTTCATTTTTAAAGGTTGAAGCCCGATCTCGTTAAGTAATAAATGTGATGCCATTGTCGAGTTTTTTATATGTATATTTATACAATAGAACATATAACTATGAATTACGGAATAACAAACAAATGTAAAAATAAATTTTAAAAATAACGATTCCTGATTACGGGACCTCCCAAATTTATTGAACAGTGTACACACCCAAAATATTCTAATATATATATATATATATAAACATTTAAAAAATTTAACTGATAGAAAAAATGGAATGCACGTTGGACCTAAAGTGTAACAAGAAAATAATTAAATCCTTGTTAACATTGAATCCAAATAGGGAAACCATTAGTCTAACGCCATATTCAAGACCACACAAACATTCCATAGATACCTCTTCCCCTCCCCCTTTCCCTCCCCCGATTTATAATATTATAACTTAAGTCGTATAAAAACAAGGCGGGACTTTTGATTGTTTATCTGATATTTTTTCAATCGAGACATTGATTCACGACTCAGCGTTAATCTCGTATACACACATCTGTTTTACGAGGTTATCTGTTACAGTCTGTATAGATTAATGACGATTTGATAGATAGATTTCAATCTCTAGAAAGGCATGTATCATAACAATACTGCACTAGTGATATCCAGAAAAATATATGTTATATCCTAATGAAGAATAAATGAATGGTAACTGCTAAGAACTGTTTATGGATTATTATTACGTATATTCTTATTGGACAATTAAGTCACTAGATTATATGCATTTTTATATTCCTTTTATCATAAGCTTTCAAATGACTTATTAACTATTATACGATTTAACATTCTTAGTTATTCTTGTTCTATTAGTTACAGCCCCCCACACTCATAGCCACTTTTGACTTGATCTCGTATAATTGTTATTTCCTGTTTTATGGTGTGGTGCTGTCTGATTAACTTGTATATAAACTGCGTATATTCGAAATATATGATTTATAAAGCGGAAGCTGCGATTGCGTAGACAGCTGTAAACAAACACTGGTATCTTCTGGATGATGGCTTTCGTAGTTCTCCAGGCTTCCGCCCCATACAGTAGAACTGTCTTGACATTTGTATTGAAAATTCTGACCTTGGTGTTGGTTGACAAACAGTTGTTTAGAGTTCCAGATGTTCTTCAGTTGTAAATACGCTGCTCTTGCTTTGCCGATTCGCACCTTTATATCTGCATCAGATCCATCGTGTTCACCAATGATACTGCCCAAGTATATAAAGGTTTTTACATCTTCCAAATCTTCTCCGTCAATTTTGATTGAATCGGTGCATTCTGTGTTGTATCGGAGAATCTTGCTTTTCCCTTTGAGTATATTGAGACCTACTGCTGCCGAGGCTGCTGCTACACTGGTCGTCTTCTCCTACATTTGATGTTGCGTGTGCGATAGAAGAGCCAGAACATCTGCGAAGTCTAGACCGTCCAGCTGCATCCTAGCTGTCCACTGTATCCCACGCTTCCCCTCAGATGTTGATGTCTTTATGATCCAATCGATTACCAGGAGAAAGGGGACAGGTGAGAGTAAGTAACCTTGCCTGACACCTGTCTTTACCTCGAACGAGTCTGTTAATTGTCCTCTACACACGATTTTGCAGTTTAATCCATCATAGTAATTCCGTATGATATTGACTATCTCATGCACGCCGTAGTGTTAAAGAAGCCTCTATAGTGTTGTCCTGTCCACGCTATCAAATGCTTTTTCGTAGTCAATGAAGTTGATGTAGAGTGATGAATTCCATTCAACTGATTGTTCCACAATGGTCCGTAGTGTTCATTGTGGATGAATACTAACACTAACTCGCTAAACAACGCTAACCAGTATGGAGAAATAAGTACCACTAAATAAATCCTCTTAACCTACAAATCATCATCTCATAAAAAACAGTTCATCTATGTTACGTAAACGGCAGTGTGCGATTCACGATATAACCACATCGAAAAAACTGTTGATAATACATATAACCTCATAATAAACGGTAATTCATAATCGTAACAATATTATGTATCCACACGTGTACACTAATGATAGTTTAAGCAAATTAATTGTATGCTAACAGTAACTACACAAAGAACCAGTCTATCTAGTCCAAATAGACCGTAAATAAACTCAAATAACCGTAAGTCCTCGCGAATTCACTTAAAGATTATAAATTTACAGAACTAAAATTGTAAGAGTCACGGATTTACGATAAAAAGTTTACATATTTAAGTATTCAAACCTACATAGGTCAACCTTAAAAGTATACATAAATCAATTTCCATCATCACGTATATCAATGAAGGAACTGTTATAGAGCTAGATTACTCTCAACAATGTCTATACGGTTAACTGACCTCTTTTAAATCGAATCATATATTTTATAAACATAAATGGGTGGGGAAAAAATCAACATTAAGATTTAGACAATATATTATTGATTATCAATCTAGTGATTGGTCAGTAGATCAAGAAAATACTGTATTCTTCAATCAATTTACCCGTCAATCGAAATATATGTAAAATTCACTAACCCCCCTCCCACCATTCATTATAAACACACTAATACAAACAATTCAATTACCAATTTTTTTAAAGCGAATACAAATGGTCAGTATAAAATAGAAGTTTAGGTAAAATAAGGTAAGAAAATTAAGAAATAAAACAATAGAGAAAAATAAACACTCTAGAAACTACCATTATGATCATTCAATAATCACCAAATTCAGTTATTGATTTTGAATTATATAAAAAAATTCTTCATTTGATAAATACACTTTAGAATGTAAAAAAATGTGTGTTCGAATGTTTGATTATGTGATTTTTCTATTATTGATTTAAACAACTCAAAATGTGTATCAATAAACGTTTTTACAATAAATTAAGTTATAAATTCATATGGTGTTGTTTTACATGTATCTTCCTATCGTTATTTAGGACTGCAATCGATCAGTCTTATGTTGGCATATGTGAATCCTGTGCGGATTGCCTCGATATAGCTTTAAGTCACAAGCTTTTAAAGCAAAGATGGCTAGTGGCTAGTAGTGGGATTCAGGACGCGCGTTTCGTTCTATTTGGGGCTCGTCAGCTGGATGTACCTGCATCCCAGAGTTGGTGTTTACTGACGAGTCCTAAGTAGGACGAAACGCGCGTCCTGGATTCCACTACTAGCCACTATTCATCTTTGCTTAATTAAGTTATAGTCTAGAACTTTCAAAGATTGAAAAATTGTTTTTATTTGTTTTATTCTTGTAAAAATGAGCAACATAATGATTTCTTGTTACACCTATAGGATATACCGTTAAATGATAAAAGGAAATGGACAGCCAATGACTTTCAGGTTTAAGACTTAACAGGATTGTTAGGCCATTGAGCCCTATGAGGAGTTAGACTCTAAACCTTTACAGCTTTCAATGAGCCTTACACTTTTGATCTATTTTGCTTAGTAAAACAAGTTATATTAGATAATCAGTCCATGATGAGATTATTTGCATACTGGTTTATAATGAATGGATGTAGGTAACGACTAAGGAGGTTAATATCGGCAGTTTAGACTAAGCTATTGTGTAACATCTGTTGTTAGTTTATCATAGTTCACTATCATTGTTAGCTCTTCATAAATACTAACATCAAATTCGCATAAATCTACACAAGATGACCACCTAAGTAGGTAATAAGAGAACATAATAATTTGTGTGTGAAACAAAATCCATTTATTAAGTGGAAAGTGTGTTGTTTGTAAAGTCATTCCTATAACTAGGTCAAAATCAATTTGAGAAACTCAATCATAAATGAAAACAGTACATCAATTAAAAGTGAATCTCTTTTCTCTTTTGACAAAATGGATTGAAAAGCGTCATATGATCGTGCTGAAAGCTATCACTGATGATAACAAAAATCATAGTCAAAGAAATCAAATATTTAGCTCTTGGTTAAAATTGACCATGGATCTTCAATGTGGCTCTTCAACTTCAAAAACAAATTAGAACAGTTGAGGCTATCAGGACTCAGTATCTAAGTGAACAACGTGATGGCCGACGAGTCTCAAATAGGACGAAACGCGTGTTATGGATTCCACTACTAGCCAATACCCATCTTTACTTACAATAGTTTTTTATTACTTAACAGATTTTATCGACTTTACAAATTATATCAGACTATGATGGAAATTACCTTTAATTTATATCAGATTCAACAAATCAACTTGTGAAAACAAAATTATATACTGTAGCTTGTAAAATCATTATCTTATTCAATATTTAGATGGAATCAGTATTATACAAACTATTGAACTGGAAAGTATTATTGGTGATTTTCATTAATTTAAGATAAACATTGTAAATTTATTTATTCATAAAGTAGTGTAGGTTTTTTTCGAAAATATATTTTCCAGTCAGTTGTCACCATGTTAAAAGGTCTTCGAAGATCATAGATACAACATTGCTGATTAGTATCAAACATCATGAAACTTAGGTTCAAAACATTCTATCGATTGTAACCAATTACCAGTCAGCAACAAAACATGACATTATAAGTTCACTTGGGAAATTCCCTACAAAGAAATTAAATTCTTGAACAATAGAAAACTATAGTGTATACGATTATTTGGACAATTTTGATTATTTCATTATCGCTCTATATATGGATATTTAGATGCTATTTTCATTTGATCTATAATTAACGATTTCAAATGCCATAGTAACAGTTTATTTATTAACGTTTCCTAAAGTTGCTAACAAAAACACTAGCATAGAGTACATTACAAAATGAACACCTAACTACAGTCCAATAAACACTAACTGTTAATTTTTAAATTCAAGAGGCCAAAAGAATAAACATCCTGATTCAAAGATGGAAATACATGCACATACATTCAATAGAACATTCAAGAAATAACTAGAATGAAATATTGTATGATTCACACAATATTTGTATAGATTCAGTTGTCAAAAGTTATCACTAGAATACAGTACTCATATTTTCTGTATAGCTATACAATTTTGTTTAAATTCTTAGCGAAAGATTTCATTCAGTTAGTTGTATACTTCTATACTATTAAGTGTGAGATTTAATAATTCGACCGGTTATTTTGTAATACCTAGCTGTTATTTACATAAAGGATACCCGATGCATTCATAATAGTTTTTCTTTGGAGAATAATTTCTGATCACATACATAGCAGTACATAACAAATACATACCAACGCCATTTTATAAAATATGGAAATTATTTATCAAATCGAAAGTAAAATTTCAAACATCAGTCTCTTCCACAACACACAGATGGTTTTTTAAATAAAGTAATCAGTGTGAGACTTCAAAGTGTCGGTTTCGATTCGTGAAAGGCTGAGTTCCAGATCAGAGTAAGTTAACTGCCCCTAGCTATCTGGTTTTCACTGAGTCGTAATACGATATCAGTCTATCACGATAAACTACATCTAAATTAAATTAAATCTAATATTATAAACTACTAATCCAGACCATGATAATGTTAAATTAATTGACATAAAAAGTTTACTTACATAAATTGAAGAATTCTCTATACATTGGACTGTTTTACCATATGCCATACTTATAAGAAATTCATGATAGTACCCTGTTCCTGATGGAGTAAACATTTTTGGACTGGAGACATGATGAACTCTAAAGTAAATCAAAAGATAACCAGACTTAGTTATTTTTCAGATCAAAGTATTGTTCAATGTATAGCTGTGGTTGCAAGTAGGTTCATTCTTAAACAATTCATATTATCAGAATGGAGTTTGTGGAGATTGTATTAATTTTTTAGAGTCAATCTAAAATAGACTACCATACTAGGACAAAATGGCCGTCCAGTGCATCCACGTTTTCAGTGGTGATCTAATTTAAATCGATTCATTAATTCAACCATTAAATTAGTATTATCTCCACTCTGATAATAATCATCGTGTGCTCACTAGTGAATGACTTCAAAATGGATTTCCAGGTGTTCTAGTGAGAAGTTATGACCAGTGGAGTCCAACCGTGTCTGTTGTAAGGCAGCTACTCACTGGAGATAATAGTGTACGGTCGTGCAAGATCGTGGATCGGTTGAAGTTAGACATTAACACCGTTGGATACCAGCTCAGTGGTCCAAAGGTTGTGTCCGCCCGCGAAACCGGATGTCTTGGGTCTGCTGAGGAGTCCTACACTAGGACGAAACAGCCGCTCAGTGCTTCCGGGTTTTCAATGGTGGTCTAGCTTAAGTCGACTCATGAATTCAACTATTAAATCCATATTATGTTATTCTACGAAGAAAAAGGAAATATTCTAGTGTGATGAGACGAAAATGTTAACTCTACCATTGAAAAATTATAAAAGTTTTATGCATCAAACATTGACGAATACAAAGTCCACTTCCTTTCCTACTTGAGGTGCATCGACTGAATAGAAATGTCCAAGCCCCAGTGTTATTCATTGTCAACTCCCATAAGAATAAGATCAACTTATTAATATACTCAATATCAAAACATTCACTCAATGAGCTTTATATGTCAACAAAAAAAGTTTAATTCCGTCCTGATGAACAACAAAAACTTTCCAAAACTGTATAAATCTTACCTGTCAATCACATCAGTTAAATTATATTGAGAACCAGACGCTGTAATTGGTTGTGTATCAGTCACACATATACTATGATTCACTGCAATCGTACCTGGTTCACATAAATGACATGCTTCTGTAACTGTATGTAAACTGGATGCATCACCAACTACAATGGAATTATTTGGACATTTTGTACAATTGATTATATTTGTTTTATTAATTTCATCATATTGTACTGAATAATATAGACCAGATGGACAAGTTTTACACCTATAAAATTAATAAAACAAAATAATAAAAATAAAGAATTGTCAGGATGAATACTGTTCTGTTTTCAAGTACAATGTAACGGATAGTACATTCTGAATAAAGTGTTTAACATACAAGATCAAAAATAAAAATTAAGCTTAAAAGAAATGAAGATAAAACTTGACCAAATGTTATACTTATAAATAAACACAATTAGCAAGCAATGATTTATAAGACTCAATTCCGACAGGTGAAATTAGTGAAAAGGGAGAGAGGTAGCTTATTAACATTATTTTTAACATAATCCATCAATCATAAGCAACACAGAACTTAACACTTATGTGCGTCGACTTGAGTCCCCATACCAAATCAGCAAAATTAGGTAGATAGCAAACCATTGAGAACTAGGTAGCAATCGACGGATGTTTTGTCCCAGTATGAGACTCCTAGGTAGCACTCATCCATAACTCACTGATGATCAAATCCACGAAATTCTGGCCTCTCAATGAGCTATCAACCTTCAGACTATGAAACCCCATCGATTGGTGAACATGCTGACCTTTAATCGTTTCGCGATACTCTTTGGCCATCTTCGATTATTTTCGATGAGCTACTGCCTAACACCCGAACGTGCTAGTGCACTATCACGAATTGATTAAAGGTGGAGATATTCAAGCCTAGATCCTGGTTCACTGGTCTAAAGATTGGGCACTCACTGAAAGACTAGAATTTCGTGGATTCAATTACTGGTGGATCAAGAGTGATCGCTCCCTAAGAGTCTCGTAATGTGAAGAAACATATTGCGATTGCTACCTGGATGTTATTGGTTGTTTAACTAAGGTTAGTTGGCGGTGTAAATTTTGGAAATGAAGAACATCATTCAAGGAGAATGATTAATTTTACAGAATTAGTAACATAAAATAACTTCGAGGATCAAGATCTAAGGGACAGCAATGAATTAATACATTAGCATAATTGAAATAGGTCTTGAACAATAATACACAACATCTCCGATCACTGGTTAGGCTTACGTCAACTAGGAAATTCCTTAATCAGTCTTCATCTCACGTAAATGTGATTTTTCGAAACACGTGTTTAAACATAAACATACTAAGAAAACAAATTTAATCACGAATATTTGTCAAGATTAGAACGAATAGTTTGACATAAATTGGCCACCGAGTATAGAGAAGTCATTATATGTGAAAATTATATTTGAAATAATTTCAGAGATCAAAATTTAAATAATTCCAAAATTTCATCCAGCTAACTTGTCTGGAATTCTTCAGGGTAATAAGCAAAATCAAAATCATCAAAGAAGTTCAGACAAGTTGGCTGGACGAAACGTTAGAATTATTTGAATTTCAATCGCTGAGATTATTTCAAACATAATTTTCACATATAGTGAAATTTAATCACGGTTTATAGATTTCATTGGCCACAGTTGCCGTGTAGTATCTTTATAGAGGCATTGTCGCTACATGATAAGGAAATATCTACCAAGTTTTTTATGGTGAAGTATCTTACCAAATAGTATTAATGTTCCTTCAATTCTGTTTCAATATGGGCTGGTCTATTTAGTTATATCTACAAATTCCAAATAATGATAGCCAGATAAAAACAATAATACAAATAATAGCCTTTGAGGCTGTAGAGCTTTCATTGTTCTTCCTCAAGTAAAAGTTAACCTGAAGTTTGTGCTGATGATGTTGTTCAGAAGAACAATGAAAGTTCCATAACCAAACCATCCGGCTCAGAAAACGAGACCATTATTATTATTATTGTCTTTATCACCGTTATTATTATTATTACACTTTATATCCTTTCTGAGAAATTTATTCAGCATCCACCCCTATCTACTATATCTGACCTAATTCATATTATTCTACATATTACGTAATTTCCGATTTTTATTCCATCATTTTCTCTCTCACCCCATGTTGACCATATTTATTCTGATTATTTATCTCACAATTTCATTTCACTTATAAATTGATTCAAGTTAACACTTCGTATTAATCAACCCCACCATTAACGATTTGGTTTGATTTTATATAACAAACAACAATTCTCAATTCACATATTACAAGTTTAAATGATGTACTCTGCCTTAAATCTGGCCAGTCTTATGGATTACTCAATCGGATTTATAATTGTAGAACTTGATGAGAAATTTTTGATTGAGATCATGAACCGATTGTTGTTAGACCATCACAATTCAAAACCTGGAGGCACTGGACAGTAGTTTCGTCCTACTGAGGGACTCCTCAGCAATGCGCATCCACGATCCCGCGAGCGGGATCCGAACCCAGGGCCTTCGGTCTCGCGCGCGAACGCCTAACCAACTGAACCACTGAGCCGGCATCCAATGGTGATAGTTTCTAAATTATTGAAATTATTGAAATTATTGAAAAGAATAATCTTCGTTTATACAATTGTGTTTTAATATAATGGGAATTTTCCAGCTATTAAAACGAGATTTCACCAAAATCACCCAACTGAACTACAAATCTTCCAAACAGTCAAAATTCTTTGTAGTCTAGTCTTAAAACGAAGTATAAGCCGGTAACCTACTGACTTATGATTTTTAAAATGAATATCATGTTTCCGTCAGGAATATTGCTCTCAAAGATTAACCCAAAGTAAGAGGATAATCAATAAAATATACTACGAAGAATAAGGTGAATTTTCAATTTTATACAAGCAAAATGTTTACAGTGACAAATTGTCACCTTCGTTGTAGAAGAATGGGAAACTTGGTGAAAACAAGGACAAACATATCTCAGTCCAATTCATGTAACAAATAACTGGAGATATGTTCAACTTACGACATACACAATTGTTAAAACTTCTGTGCTACAGTTTTCCCTTTTTAAAATTCTACTCGTTTAGCTGAATAGTAGAACGTAAAGCAACTTCTGACAAAACAACCCATGTATACAAATATGTATTTTTTTGAAAGATTGAAGGCTTGATTTAAGTATATAACTCTGGTTTTAAGTGACTCCCAAAAAACACTAGCATTAATTGAGATGTCATTGAAAATCAGATGTAGACGTTTAGCTTCAGTATAGGACTGTTCAGGACTACACATAAATCAATAGGTAAGTGGACGTAATGCCAATATTATGCAAATCGAAAGGTTAGGTCCTCACCATGAGATCTGAAAGTCCTGGTCATGAGTGCTCTTTGATAAGGAATACCATACAAGCACAAACCAGGTATCTCGTGTTTCCTGGTTTTTGATGATGACTAATTAAGAACAGTCTATGGTAAAAAAAACATGAATTTTGACAGTCTCTACAAGCTCCCTAGAACGCTTGATTTGTTGTTTAGCGTGAAGACTATCCCCAACAGGATCGTGAATACTCATCACTGAAGATTTCAGTACTAGAATGCAACTGGTTTTCACTGGTTCTAATGTCAATACACACCAAAAACTAAAAAAACAACTTGAAAATTCAACAAATAACATCATCTATAAACGAGAGTTGAATTATAAATTAGATTAGACTCTAGTAAAATCGATTATTTGTGATAATTAAATGTTACCAAAATGACTCATATCTTTCAACTTAAATCACATGTAAGTAGATTCTCCTGTCTTATAAAAAGTTTTAATCAGTATCTTTACAACACCAAACAAGAAAAATAAGATTGATGATGCCTAGACAATTCATTCAAAGAAAGCATAATACTATCTATTGTTGATCTGTTAAAATGTTCATTTACACGACATATTAATTTTGTACCCTTTTTTTTCAAAGTACCTACACGTACAACGATTGATGATTTGTTGATGATGAATTTAATCTAATATGTCAAACTTAGAAATTCAGTACAATGTTTCTCTCACGTCATGAGATAGACATAATAAATTAATGCAAACATTTTTGATGTAAAATATAAGAATTGATTATTTTATAAACTAGTACATACACATACACTCATATTACTATTATTAATGATTGTGGAATGGACTTTGATGATATACAAAACATCTATAATTCAGCAGTCTATGTTCAATGTGATTATTGCAGAAATTGTACGCCTTAAATTCTGTTTCATGCATAGGCTTCGATATTCATTACTGAGATGTCTCAAATAAAAATGAAATAAAAATCCATCTAATAAACATAATTGTGGTAACCTAATAAAAAGTGAATTGAAGAAATATTATGAAATTTTTGGACTGGTATTAATACAGCTAATCTATACGACATAAGTTATTAAAATGAAGCTTACTTCATTGCACAACAAAACACAATAAGCAATACTACATAATATTTTCACAGTGTCTCCAGCTAATGAGTCCCAGGATAATATAAAGCGCTTTAAACTCACGGATAGCGATCATTTAAGATTCGATACACCGAGTGGCGTCTAGATCTGATAGAATGTACAATACAGAGATGGTGGAGAAGATTTGTAGCTCAGGTGGATGATTTCGGTGGAGTTTTGTTCTCTGAGCTGGATGGTTTGGTCGTGTGTTGGTAGAACATGCTGGCGAAGACACTCAGCTCAGAGAACAAAACTCCACCGAAATGTACAATACCTCTGAATTGTTTAATTTTAACCAATTAAACAACGCAGTTGCTGGACAATCTCATCATATTACACACTGACTGAGGTGACAAAGAAATTGGGGTAGAACGGTGAAAGAATTAGCATTGAACACATGCTAATCTACTAAAGTAAATGTCATCATTCTTTTCTTGCTTAAAATGTATGCTTGATTCGTAAAATAAATTCAAGATAATAAATTTTAATCAAAAATTTAATACAGCAACGTTTTTTTGTTTAAATTTAAAGCTTTTCCTAAAATATCTTCAAATATGTTGTCATGGTGATTATAAAATTAATAATGCTAATTTAAAACAAAACTTTAACACCAAAAAAAACCCAGCTAAAATACTAATAAATATTAATAACAGTATAATTTGAATTTTATTTAATGTAACAAATAGATTTATTTTAAAAGAAAGTGTCAATTACTTAAATAGAGAATGTTTTCACAAATTTGAATGATTTTATTATGTTATTAGATCATACCTACAATAATAAATATAACTTGACTTAGTGTAATCTATATTGTAACGGTAAAAGTAAATCTCAGCATTAATTAATTGATATTGTAATAAACTTCTTATTTAAATTGACACTCAAATTGTGATTACTTAAGAATTTATTGCTTTTTCCTAGTGGTTTTCAATGAACAATATTTGTCACTCAGCCGTCAGTTGTGATAAGAGTTCCTATGATTTCAGTTGTAATAACACTTTGTTTTTCTTTTCATTATATGTAAGTATATAGTGAATTAATGAATCATAATATAATCGTTTCTTTTCACTCTAAAGTGTCGACAGATATCATATTAACTCGTGATTTTTTTTAAAGTTTTACATGTATGTAAAGTGAGGCAGCATACTCTGCAGTCTTTTATTTACTACATATATATGATACGATTTACAGCATTGAAATAATGGTGATTAGAGAACTTATCAAAAAGCCTAGTAATTAAAGATAAATAAAATTGTAAGAAAAATGTTTTTCAATAAACTGAGTTTTGAATAGGAAAACTATAAAACTATCGACACATCACTAACAACATACATTCATCCAATTGGCACGTTAATAACCATTATTATTGTATCAATCTTATGTCATTCAAAAACTATCTACATATGGATAATATGAATAATCCATTTGAATGCGATCTAATGATCATTCAATAGAAAAAATAATCTATCATTGAACTTTCTCTTATTTTCTTTCTTTCGAAAACTAAAGAAAAAACAAAGCAGATAAATAAATAAAACATCATTTAGTTTATTATTCATCTTATTTACGTACTTTCCATTGACAATTCCTTGAACACATGTTTGACATCCGATAATATTATCATTTTTCACATTGGTTACTTCAATTTTATAAATATTTACATGATCTTGTATATGAATTGGTGAGCTTGGTTTTTCAAAAATCCACTTAAATGTAACTTCACTTGCATCTTTTATATGATACCTAATTAATAATAATAATAATATAAATAGTAATGATAATAATAATAACAATACGAGCAAAAATGATAACAGTAAATCGTAATACAACTGGTAACAAAAAATATTCATGATTTATAACTAAATACTACTTGTAAGTAATACCATAACACGTTTTGATAATGCAATGAAAAAACAAAATTTATCCAAATTATGTTGTTAAATTAACGTATTTACCTAAAAAAAATAGGTATAAATAAAAATATAATTTTCAACCCTTAATGAATACACTCAAACGCATTGTTATTCATAAAGATGATTGTTATTAAGTAGTATCATCATTAAAAATTTCTACAAGTGAAATGTTATACAACATCTATAGCATAGAACTACCACATCGTCACCGGATTGAATAAAAATGATTGGTTAAAATATTAATTATGACACTAGGTCTCAAATGACAAGCAAAAACATTGAATAGAAATTTACTGAATTCAATTATATAAACAAATACGATCGACCAACACACAATGATCCCATTACAAATGAACACTGTTAATAAATCAACCTATAACATGTTAACATCATTTGTGAACCTAATCGGTTTTAATAGTAAGTAAATTTATAAATATTGTGGTTTCACCATCGAACAAAACATGAGTATTAACAGTTTTTACGAAATTGTATATATATATAATGACAAGAATCACTTTTAATTAATCCTTCTTGATATAACACGACAACGATCCAGTGTCATCTACCTTAAATCTGCTACATTTCATAAATCTCTTAGCTAAGATGTAGTATAGGACTTCCTAGTAGTACATACTCACTACCTTGAAAATGTAGACTGAACTCGAGACTCTCAGTCTCTTGCAAACGTTCAACCTCTAGACCATTCATCCTATACCAAAACATGTTAACAACTGACTTCTAGAAAGAAGCTTCTAGAGAAAAGCCGTAACTAGTAGCGTTCGGCCATGTTGAGTGTTAGACAATTATCTATCATATGCGACGGTAAATAGTTGCATAATATCGTGAATTAAATGAAGTTATATACTAACACCGTTGAATGATGGCTCAATGATCTAGAAGTTACGAGTTCTCGAGAGAGACAGAAGGTTCTGAGTTTGATTCCTCAATATACGGTTGTGAATGTATATTGTTGAAGAGTATCTTACGAGGATGAAAAGGTTGCCTGGTTTTTAATGGTGATCTAGTTAGGATAATTTCGTGATCCAAAAAAACTATACGAATTCCATAATCCCCATTAAACCTTATACTGACATGATATTGTAGTTTATGAACTTATTATTACTAAGACTTAAAGATAAATAGTTCATTCACATAGATGTTTGAACTACGATCAAATACTTTTTTACTTTTTTACACTAACATTGGATCATAATAAGCATATACTGTACCAGTTGTGAGACAACTTCTAAGTCAATAATTTCGAACTTCTTGACATAGATGAACTTTGTCAATTATATGATCAAATATTTAATTCAAAAAGTGTGTTCTTTTGCATATTTCTCTAACCTTATTCAACATCACTTGGAAGACTATAAAATTCATAGTATAATATACTGTTAATTATACAATATGACAAAATTAACTAATCAATGAATTTTTTATTCACCAAATCAAACTATCAATTCCATCTCAGTGGTATGTATGTTTGTATATATATATATATATATATATATATATATATATATATATATATATATTCTCTAAATAAAATTAAGAACAACACAAGCTGAAACTGTACAATGGAATTTAAAACATTTCACAGTAACTATTCAGTTTTCAATAACTCACGTGAAATTTCTTCGGTTTGATGATCCACCCCAGATAGCAATCATTTTTTCATTACCAGCGACAAAAACCTAAGTGAAAACATTTAATAATAATAATTCTCAACAAATAAAATAAATACAATTTTGAATGAATCCCAGTTTAGTTTTAGTTATATAGCTGTGTTATTTTTTGTAGATATTTTGAAATTCACATGGTGTTGTTTATTTGAATCTTCTCATTGATGTTTACGACTGCATTTGATCAGTCGTAAACATCAATATGAAAACTCAAGCAAACAATACAAAAATGAATTAAAATTTCACTCCATTACACAAGCTAATGGCTATTAGGACTCAGTAGCTAAGTGGATAATGTGATGGTGTTTGAAGCGAACGTTACTGGGTTCGAGTTCCCGAGTGAACATCAACTCTGTAATGTAGGTACATCGAGCTGATGAGTTCCAACTACTACGAAACACATGTCCTGGATTTCACTACTAGCCACCATCCATCTTTGCTCACAATGATATTTTGAAAGGAATTTATGTCATAAAAATTGAAGTTGCCAAGAGAGCCATTGACAACTAGAGGATATTCCAAAACATCTTAAACAAATCAATAACACCAAACAATTAAATAAGTAAAGTCAAACTAGAAATAATTGAGACAACTAACTCACTGGATAAATTTTGTTGAATATCGCTAACTGACCAAAAGTCAAAATTTGCTCTATTCAATTATAATAACTTAGTCTAAAGGTGTTATGGTCACCATACAGTTTAAAGACTATAGAACTAATCGCATGTGAAAACGTAGACGTGGACAAATAAGACTTTTTATTGTAGGAGGGAACAATTGTTTAGTGGCTGCCTGATTTTTTACAGTTTCTCAAATATAGTCAGTTTATGATGAAAATCACCATTAGTATTTTGTATGAATGAAACTGCTGGTTTCATTCATAGTGCTTGACATAGTAATTAAAAGTCACATTAAACCCATATAATTTATTAGAAATTTGATAAAAGATATATGTCATCAGGTACCTATCTAAGTGACGATATCCCTCAAAGCTAACAAACAGTCATGCATACACAATATATTGGTTGGAAATGTGGCTATTTTTCTGAAGGGGAAGAGATGGATATTTATGAATGAGTTATGCAACTATTTTTGATTCGGTTGCCTAATGAAGGCTTCCTACTCACTCTTGGTTCTCTCATTCAAGTATGTGGTTTGAGCACACATACAGAAGGCGTATATCTCAGTAGCAAAGTCATGCTACTGCACAACGCAACATTTATATGACTACGATAAAATTATCCAACACTTTTCATTCCCAGTCTAAATCAATTTCTTCCAAGTTATCTGAATAAATCACAAATATAAAATTTTTTTTGAGGATTCATTAGATTGAAAGTTTACACAACTGCTCCTTTTACAATTCACTAGTGAAACTCAAAACAAAACTTGGTGAATAAGAACTGTGATTCGTAGTTAGAAATAACATGATTCTAGTTTCGACTCCACTCTAAACATTTCTGGCTGAAAGTAGCTTTTTATTCAAGTTATTTTATGTGAGTTAGAAAACTGATTATAAAAGTACAAGAGTATTTTGAACAGAAAAACACCTTATTTCTTAAAAGAAATGTATATATTTTGACTAGGGGAAAATGGAATTCTCGGTATTTACAATACAGTCATGAAGAATAATACTGTATCTGTCTAAAGCGTTATAGCAATTTAGACAAGGTGTTGAAAAATTCTTTGTTGTGTGACTACCTTGATTTGAATCGCCTCATTCATAAACAATTAAAGTCCTATGGTGAATTAATATAACAGGCTAATAGGAACTGTTGTCTAAAGGTTTACTGATTTTTGTATGTTTAATTACAAGTTTATCGATTACAATGTATGCTTGCATGTCTGCTTTCATTCGTCCAAATTATTCTATGTCTATTTCCACATTTGTCCTCATGTTAATTATTAAGTTTAATTGCGCTCAAACTACGTATGCCTAATTGATTATCATTAATTCATACATTATTCACTTTATATAACGAGCAAGTCACTTATTATTCATTGAATAGGTGTTTACAATTACGCCTGTTTGGATATACTCAACTAACATAATCAATCTGCCAGTTTGCTTGCTCACATGAATGTTTGAAATGCATACATCCTAAAACGAACTTGTATTCGACTCTTTATTTCTATATTGCACTAACATAAATAGTCGATATAAAACATACCAGGTTAAATAGACTATATCCTTTATAAGTTCCAATATCGTTCAGAGATATCGGAGTTAGAGAATGGACTTTGAAGACTAATGAATTAGAATATGAGGTTTGTTAAATAAATCAAATTAGATAACTGAATAATAAATCTGGAAATTTGACACGTATTATCGTGAATGTTACCACTAGTCAATAGAGTTTACAGTTTTAAACAAACATTACGATAATATTAATGACTATAAACAAAGTAAGTTTACAAAATCGTAAAGATGACTTCAATTAGTGTGGAAATAACCTTATGAAGTCATAATTTCATTGTAATGCACTAGACAACAATTTAAGCAACTTTTATATCATGTAAATAAAGTTTATTACTATTTTAAAAATCTTAATATTTTAAAACAAATTAGTTATTTCACGTTTCAATATTAATCTGAACCATCACACAGTAATCAGTAAGTTGTGGAACATGACATTGCATAAAGGTACATAATTAACAAACTCATCAAAATTCAATGAGAATAGTTAAGTTAAAATAACGTAAGGTTCACATTTATTGAATTGTTTAAATTCATTTTCTCTTTTTCTTCTCAAATTAAACTATATGAAGATCAATTCACTTGGTACTGTTTTACTTGAATCTTCCCATTGATGTTTAGGACTGAAATTGATCAGTCGCATATTGGCACATATGCATACTGTGCGTATTGCCTCGATATTGCCTTAATTTATAAGGATTATAAGCAAAGATGGAATAGTGGCTAGCAGTGGAATCCAGGATGTGCGTTTCGTCCCATTTGGGACTCGTCAGCTGGGTGTATCTGTATTTCAGAATTGATGTTCACTCTGGGAGAGACTGATCAATTTCTGTCCCAAACATCAATGGGAATATTCAAGTAAAACAATACCAAGTAAATTAAACTTCACCCCATTGCACAAGCCAGTGGCTATCAGGACTCAGTAGCTAAGTGGATAACGCGATGGCGTTTGAAGCGAATGGTACTGGGTTCGAGCCCCAGAGTGAACATCAACTCTAAGATGCAGGGACATCCGGCTGACGACTCCCAAATACTACGAAACGCGCGTCCTGGATTCCACTGCTAGTCACTATTCTATCTTTGCTTATATATGATCATTTAAGATTTCATAATTAAATTTAAGCATCAGAGAATCCATCAATTTTACTTTACATAAAACTATTATGCATAATTACTGAAATAAAACTAAATTATCTCCCCTCTATCCGGTCCTCTATTGTTGATAACATGAGATATCACAGATAATCCCATCGATATCATAAGTTATAAATTATTAAAGCACTCCTTATTTTTATCCCATTCAATTAATATTCTCGTAATGAATATGACATATTATTCAAATAAAATATCACATAACATTGATCTTTATCCTAATTCTACATCTTTGTTCAGTATCAATATAAATTCTCATTCTTATTGTGTAGTAAACAAGCATTTACAAGCAAAATACTTGTTATTACTAGTGAGAAATCTGTTGAAGTGGTTACTTGAATGTAAATTATTAGTGACCAGAATTAATTGAATACAATTTAAGCAAGGTCATTTATTCAAGTAAATAATAAGTATTATTGTTATAGTCACTGATCAGTGAATTGTACAATAAAAAATATCAATAACCTGGGTGTTGTTTTTTTCTTCTTCATTTATATCACTGTTGCTTAACAACTTTAAAACAATAAACCAAATGATACCATGGAGAAAAACAAATGAACATTGAATAATAATTCTTAATAAAAATTTCTTTTCAACTAATATGAAAAATACACTTTCTTCATCATAATTAAGAATAATAAAAACTAGTTCGGCTAGTATCATAAAACAAGATTGATGGTCAGGACATGGAACGATTATGTTTATAGATTGGAACGATTTTTCTTTTTTTGCAACAAATGTAAAAATGAAATCCAGGTTATCTTCAAATATGGTTGATTTGGAATAACGAATCCATAAAGTGTGAATTCTGATATGGATTTACAATATTTATCTTTTTGGTTCATACCTAACTGTTAGCATACTGAACTTGTATGAAGAAAATTAATGAAAAGTGGTGTTTATAAAATTTCATCCTAATAATTGTGATTCACTTAAAAGTGACTAACTTCGAGAAAAATTCCCGAATTCACTGGAGTTTAGCCATTATAAGATAGAAACTATTATTTACATTGACTAAACTCTGCTCAACATTAAGAATTTTTTATAGTCATTAAATGCCAATCTAGTAGTCTGATGGCTAAGCTTTCGTCAAGAAGTCTGAAGGTGCTAGGTTTAATCCCTGGTAGGATCAGGGTTGTGTACTGCTAAAGAGTCACATACTAGAATACAACATTTATCAGTTACTTCCATACGTCAGTGGTTGTCTAATTAAAGTCAATTTGTGATGTTAGCCTATAATTTATGTCCGTTATCATAACTCAGTAATGATGTTCAACAACACTTTGTACTTGATATTATTACCACAAAATCTAAACAATTCGAAGGGTCATAATAGCTTAACTTGAAACTTAAATTTCTAGAAAGTCTTCTTAAAAATGATTTTGGATTAATGCTCCTTGTTGATTACAGACAACAAATTCGTTCACATAGAGTATATAGCAATAAAGTGGACTTTAAACAAGTTGCATTGATTTAAGGAAAACTGTATATGTTCATGAAGCAGATGCGAAAATAAATGAACGTCATACACTGCCCTATACTCCTATTTCCTTTTAATAAAAAAACATCTATCATTTATATTTACAACAAACTAAATATTGCATAAAATAAATATTCAATTATGTCCATTGTTATTGTGTAGTGTCATTGTAAGATAAAATAACTTACTTGTTTCATAGAAAACTGACATCTACCAACACAATCTAATTGAAATTCAATACGTACAAATGTATTAGAGATAGGTGGCTGAAAATAAAAAGAATACTCGTCAGTTGAATCAATTATTGATGCTGTAATAAAACCATCCTTAATTGGGAGTTCCAATGTTGCCAATTCATCTGAATGCATGCCAACTCCACCACGTAATAATGTTAGATCACGTTCCCATGTATTACATTTCGTCCCTTAAATGAATTAATCAACAACATAATCTAATGTTAAAATCAGTTAATGTACGCATAAACTAATAAACGACCATTTTATTTGTTGGGAATCGTACTTTACACTGTTGTTATTAAATACAACAATAATAATGCAAACTATTACATACATAACTTTTTATGCGTTAAAGTTTGAAGAGGTAGGAACTAGATTCAAATTTTACTAGAACTATCAACATCCAGCTGATGAGCCCGAATAGGAAAGGATCGACATCCTCCATTTGATCATTAACTACGATTTAACTTTATCATATGACAGTCGTTATATAATATGTTTCGCTAAAACCATGACAAAACTTTCTTTTAGTTCAGCTATTAAACTACCACTGATTAGGTCTAGCTCTTGCAGTAGATATCTTTCGTTGTAATTCTGTAGTCTTAAAACCAACCGATCCGATCACTTATAAATAAAATTTCAAGTTATCAGTAGTTATGCGAGAAATTAATAATACATGTAGACCATTGCGAAATACCATAAAGCTAAAATATACGATTCTATGCTTTAATAAAACTGTTGAAAGTATAATCCTGAAACCATTTACAAGGTGATAAATGTCATATTCATTATCTTTATTCCAATAAATTTTAGTAAAAAAAAACACTATTTAGTGTCACTCATGAGTTATTGTCGTTTATTGAGATCTGTACTTCAGTCTGACTGGTAAACTGTAAGTTTAAATTTTCGAATTGGTATGGAAGAGACTGACAATGGAAGAGCTCTACAGTTAAATCATTTATATAATAACTCAACAAATCACTAACATCATATTTTCAAATTGCTTCGTTGTTGCTAAAACTCTATAAATAAACTTTCTTAATTACCGAAGAGATTAGACTGTTTCCTAATTTTTTACAAACACAGTTACTTTTAGATTGAAAAACAGGGGTTCATTCTTGTCATATGAGAAGTTTTACTAATAACTTACCAAAGAAATTGTAACAATCCAATTTCAGTATAGACGGCATACGATACCAATTATCAAAACGTAAACCATACATTGGAACTTCATTAGTTGGACATGTAACACAAGTTTCTAAATTTGATAAATGTTTCTTCATACCAACTGAGCATAATTCACATGTATTACCATCTAATGGAAATGTACCAGTTGGACACTTGTGACAATCTACTGGACTCTCTGGTTGTGGTAAAGAAACACCACTATTTTCATCACATATTTTTGGTTCAATCCACTTCCATTTACGTTGTGTCTACAGGCAAGAAAACACATACACATAGAAATTGACTAACTATTTCACTGAATAAAGTTTATTTAGAAACCTGTATTATGTACGTAACAGAATAACAACTGTGATATATTTAATAAAACTCAAATAAAATCACCCTCTTCTAAGTTTTAAACCACGAAGATCAAATTATCAAATAAAATTGCGGCCAGTAGTAAAATTCGAGGAAAGATCGTCATCTTATTTGGGACTCGTGTGTTGAATGTGTCTAAATCCCAATGTTGAAGTTCACATTAGAACTCTCACTAACTATCCGTTAACTCAAATGGCATGATGTCATGTTATGAGGTTATTGAATCAGAATAGCAATATCTTCTTCAATAAACATTACACTTATCATTAATTGATAATTTCACGATCAACCAACCACCAACATACAAATCTGGAAAATATTGTGATTTTCATTCAACAAGTTCATATATCAAGAGGGCTTGATAGATACACTCTCAAGTATTAACGACAAGAACGCATAAACTCTTACGACCAACAATAAATATGGAAGTTGTTTTGTTCAACTATTTATTTAAAACTTGTTGAAATATATTTAGTTAGACAATATATCGAAAATGACTGTTGTGATCGCAAGTAACCAAATAAAAATAAAATCTACTGGTTTCTGTCAAACTTTGGTGACCACCTCAAAGGAAAAAATATGCAATCCATTAGCCCAAATTATCTCACTCTGATTCCGATTAATGAAAAATCAATAAGTCGTTCTATGTAATTCAAAGTACTTTCGACTGAAGTCAAATAACCTAGTTAGAAGTTTAATGTGACTTATTCCGTTGACTAAGTAGATCTAATCAATCATAATAGTCAGGCTAAATATAAAGTGATTGAACTGACATCGAGATCGGATTAAAAACTAAATCAAACCTAATGGAACAAAGAGCAGTGACCTTTGAATCTGTCAAATAAAGTTCACCATTATGTTGAGTTAATCACTTTTGTGAGCACAAAACATATAAGATCAACGTTAAAAAAAAACAGTTACTACTCAGTGAACGACTACCGTATAGTACTTATTCAGGTAGTTTAAAGAAAAACTTCCTTGATCTAATTAACTACTATTCATCAGATGATGAATGCTTATGTCATTCATAGTAAGCACCAATTTGAAACATTGATTAACATGATATAGATAGTGTAGTATAGACAGACATATTCAATTTTTGTAGGATAAAGTATTTCGTCTGAAATAGTCAACAATAAATGAAGTTTACTAAAATAGTAAAAGCAGATCGTTTAAACTTTATTGTTCGTTTTAACATCAGCATGAGTATGAAGATACAGAAGACATGACAGAAGTGAGTAGTAGTTCAAGTAATATATTCAGAAGCAAAACGGAGAATATGATAATGGTTAAGAGGAAAAATATGTCTGAAAGTAGGGAGAGATAGATTAACCTGATATTACTAAGCTGAATGATTCAAAAAGATGTAGCTATAATGAAAGCCTAAGAATTTGATCCAGCAGTCCTGAACTAATTATCAAGGTAAATGGTTTGTATGGTATAGAAAATAGAAAATTCAAACTAATATACGGCTGTCCCAATTTAATTTCCCAATGAAATTACTCAATTCATAATTGGAAATATCATTCTCTGAATAAAATATACATTCTATTGACATTGATCACTTAAAAATGTACTGAATTTCATATAACCGCTACAAAAGTTTGATTGTATAATTAGGAATATCTTACCATTTGTTGTTGATCACACGATGTCCAATAACTTGTATAATCATCTTTCTTACATGGAGGACGTGGACTACAACTTGAAGATCCATTACCTTTAATTGTTAGAAAGTAAAACATTTTATTATACATTTATGAATAAAACTATAAAAAAACTTAGTTCCATCTAAACTATGCCAAACATTCTAATTCATTCACTCATCAAGTTCCATGTATAAAGAGAATAAAATATCAAGGCAAACTCTTTACTAGTTTTTAATAATAATGATTTAATCTTACTTAATTTTTTATATCATTACAATTGATGATTCCATCATCGATCAGTTTTTGAATGAATAAAATTCATTTAATTGAAGTAATTTTTTGGACTAAATTTCTGTCGCCTTAAAATGATGTCAGTTTATTAACCGTAAACAGTTAATTTAATAGTTGAATTCATGAGTCAAATGAAGCTAGACCACCATAGGAAACCTGGAAACATTGGACAGCCATTTCGTCCTAGTATGCGATACCTCAGTAGTGCGCATCCACTATCCCGCCTCACGAGATTCGAAACCAGGAACTACCGGTCTCGCGCGCGAATGCTTAACCTCTAGACCGCTGAGTCGGACGACATCCAACGGTGTTAATGTCTAACTTCAACCAATCTACGAAGTTGTGCCACCGTCCACCGATTGATTGTCAAATTATCATTGATATAGCTGCTAATTTAAAATTCTTAAACTTCACTAAGTTGTTTTTAATCATTAACACTGAAGATATTTCATCTCTATCTACTTCAAAGTTATATTTGACGTTATTTGTATACACAATATTTTTGAATAGAACTCAACGAATGTGTTCAAAAAATTCTAAGATTGATCTAATTAAATGATTAGTTGTTAATCCGGTATTATTAATCATTGTTGCCACTAAGCTTGTTGTATTTAATTTATTTGAAGTATTTTTAGGATTGATTTATTACTTTTGAATAGTCATTTGGATAGGAGTTACTTTAATGTTTAATGATTACAATCAAGAACTATGAGAGGAAAAATGGCTGGTTTATGCAAATAGAGTTTGGCCGTAAATTTGAATGTTTATATATACAAAAAAAACCTTGATAATATGGTGGAAAATCTAGCTTATCATAAGGTCAACTAATCAACAGGAATATAGTATTTTTAACCGTAGTAAAAACCAAAAATGTATAAGCGATGAGTGCAACAACGAAGCGAAACGTTAACTTTTTCGTCCTACCTTAGTTTTTCCACAAAAATTTTATATAAATAAAATTGATCATCAAAGAAGTTCTTGCCACCTTGAACTTTTCACAGCTTCAAAATGAAACACACGACAGCTCATTATTTCGACAAGTATATTTCAGTAGCAATTAGGTGAAATCTAAACTATATGAATGTCTGAAAGTAATTCTTGTTGACTTTAGCACGATTTGAGTTAATCGTGAAACATTATTTATTTGTTCAATACTGACAAATGTTACCTCAAAACTGATCTGTTTCTAACAGTTAACTGTAATGACGCAATATATTTGGTAAATGTTATATTATTCATTACAAACATACTCAATGATCTTACACTGAATAAAATGAAAATGATTTAAATGAGTTGGATCATTGATACTATCTACTGAAAAATATTACAAGATTCTTCTAGAACATCGTTCTTTATTGTGAGTTAATGGCATCATGCTATTGTACCCAACTTTTGTATTTTATACTGTAGGTTTAGATAATTCTGTCCTCACACTGAGAAAAAAACAACACTCGAATATAAATTAATTTACACTGAAATCGAGTAACCCTTTAAAGTTTTGAATTCAATCATGAATAGTAAAAAAAAGAATAAAAATAAGCTGAGTTTACTTATTACATAATTTTACTGTTTACGTAAAGAAGCTATACTTTTCGATTAAAAATTCACCAATTAGTTTTTGCATAAATATACATTAAAATTTCTCATGCTAGTCAACTTGTTGAGTATTTTAGAAAATCTCTTTAAATAAGACACAAGTAATTACAATATTGCTTTTTTCTTTTTTTTTTTATTGTTTTCATACATGAATATAAACTAGTTGTCGTGTCTACAAAATGTTTAAAAATTATTCATAATGGTTACATATATAGATAAGTAATTTTGGAAAACTATATGAAAAATATGGAGTCATTTTAAATAATATAAAATAATTATTTTTCTTTTTATTAATTTTTATTAAGAATGATGTTAACAATTCTGTTTATTTCATAAAACAGTTTAAAATCAATAAAATTAAGCAGTTGCCAATGACAACACAAATGTACATTAAGTATGCAAAACAATATTATCATTAGATTGACATATCTAATCATTTGAATAAACAAAACAAACCTTCTGTGATTATATTAATTTGATTAAAGTATTTGTTTTGTTTCATTGGTTAAAAACTAGAGATGCGGTTTAGTTATAAAGAGCATTGGGTTTTCTACCGGTTAGTCACATATTTGAGTTCTATTGTACCAAATCTCATTTGGACATCTCAGCAGTATTACTAGACTTCAAATGAACCGTACAGTTAAAGGCTAAGCACAGAAAATCCATATTTAGTGAGTTACATGTATTTTGAGACCTTATTAGATAAATGAGTTTAAAATAAAACCTAGTAGTAACCAATTTCATGTTTGTCCAACTCATAATGAAAATTGAATTCCATCGATTAAGTCACAAATAAGCAACTGATTAAGGTGAATCTGATTTAATGTTAATTGGCTTAAACCTTTCGAAAGGAAGGGTTGTTAGTGTTGATTCTCTCCAATGAACTAATATTGAACTTCTTGATTGGTCTCTCTGGTTTATAATATTTCCCTGTTAGTTTCTTCGAAGTGTTATATAGTTTTCCATACTGTCTTCTCTTGCAGCTTTATCGACTGCCGTTGTTAGGTCTTCCATGTATTTCTGCCTGTCAGCTCCGACTCTCGTCTTTACTCCCTTGTTTGTTTCTGTGTATTCGGTTTGTACCTCGACGTTCTCATTTCTTGTCTGACTGCTGTTAATTGCTGTCTCTTTGTTCGTCCATTCTTGAACACTTTCTAGGATATCGATAGAGATTCATTCTTCATGACAGCACATGACACTTTGAAGTTAGCGCTTCTCTAATCCCTTTCCATTTGTTCTCCATATTAGTTTCTTCTTCCTTGAGTAGGTCTTGTAGGGCTTCGAACCTGTTGCTGAGAACTATCTTGAATTCGTTGAGTTTATCGGTATCTCAAAGAAAGACTGTATTAAACTATTGTAATATTGTTTCCCCAGTTGACCAGTGCTTTTATAAATTGACTTTCATCTTGATAATCACTAAATAGTGAGTTGAAGCTATTACATCACTTCTCTTGGTTCTCATGTCTTTCATTGACTTTCAGAATCTTTAGTGACGCAAATATGACCGGTTTGGTTCTGTGTAGTGTGATCCGGTGAAACCTATGTAGCTTTGTGTGCGTGTTTGTAGACGAATATAGTGCCACATATAACGATTTCGGTCAGGGCACATACATTAGCAAACCCCTCTCCATCTTCTTTCCTTTCCCTTGGTCTATGTCGTCCCGTGTTATCTTCATTGACATCATTAGTGGGTTCATGGCACTGGACAATATTCATTGTAACCATCTTTCTCTTTGTTTTTGAAAGATACTTTGATGGTCCAGGATCTATGAGATTCCCATCGTATAAGTGCTCTTCGTGTTTATATGGACAGCATCAGTGCAAATCTTTGTTTTTGTGAGGCATTCTCTTCTTCATGACCAAAGTACAGAAGGATCTCTCCCGAAGCTTCTCTTTTCTATCCAGCTTACGTCCAATGGGTTCCACTTATTCCGAGCACCATCAAGTTGCATCTCTTCATTTTCGCATCTATTTTATTGGTCCTCCTGGTCAACCACAATGTCTGGACATTCCATTTACCTAAATTAGCTATTACTCTGTTTATCCGAAGAGATATCGACCCCATAATCCCCGTTGAGTTTCGGCTTTCACTATGAGACAGCACAATTCTTCTGAATGGAAATCCTTCAACGCAGAAGGCTGGGCTTAAATGGTTTAAACTGTTTTCCTGGCTAGCCTTTTCTTTAGCAAAGCTTTTTTCTACAGAATGGAGTTTGTGACCCCATTACCAACCCTCCTTCTTTATCCATGCTTTGGACCGGAAATAAGTCTAGGAGGGCTATAGGTGGAGTTATAAATAGAGTCATGATAAATAAGATGTTCAGATTTAGGTTTCATTTTAGCAAGGATATTTGAAATAGGTATAAGGACACATTTTTGAAACAAGTATTATTTTACTAGCATACTCTCTAAACAACGATTAGGATTTCTATATATATTCTAGATTTTGGAGAGTTTTTTCATATCACAAAATTTTAACAACTTAATGAGAAGTAATTCTACATTATGAACAATCTGAATTCATGCATATTTTCAACGCACTTCTTCTGAAAACTAGCAAAAGCCAGTGAAATATAAAATAGCTAAACGAAAATTACAACAAAAACAAAATTTAGCATATGGAGAGAATAACAAATAGTCACACGGACAATGGGACTAGATGTAACTTAAAAACTTCATTAAGACAGATTCAAAATTAGAAACACTTATCCTTGAATGTATTAAAAAGTGACTGAAGTTATCTCAAGACTAGAATTTCAATAAGCCTAAGGATACACAACTCCGCCTGTAGCTCTTCTAGAGTTACTGCCGGTCCCAAGCCCGGGTAAAGGAGGAGGGTTGGGCATGGGGTTAGCGTCCCCATCCCGTAGAAAACTAACTCGCTAAAAAAACGCTTACCAGAAAAAGTAATCCAAACCATTTTAACTCTGCCCTGGGAGTTAGAAGGTCTTCATTTAGAGGAATTATGACGCTTCATGGTGAAAGCCGAGTTCCTTCGGAAGCCACGAGGCCGATGCCCCTTCTAACAACCAGAGCAAAAATTTTTATAGGTACATGGAACGTTCGAACAATGTGGGAAACCGGGAAGACCAGTCAAATATCAATGGAAATGAGGAGATACAACTTAGCAGTACTGCGAATCAGCGAAACCCACTGGACCCAAGCTGAACAGAAAAAGCTAGCT